GACTGATCACTCTACTATATTCTCATATTTAATAGCATGACTTCTGTCCTTTAACAATTTCTTTCTGAAATATATTACTTATGTACCATTTCCTTGTTTCTCTTATTTATTTCACTTTTTTTTTTTTCCCTTTTAATTTCTTCTTCCTGATGAGAATAAGGGGAGGGCAGGATATTCTGATCCACCATTTCAGATTCCACTGTGGGACAGAACCTGTCTGTGAACTGAATCTCCACCATCCTCTTTCCCATGCAGTGAAAAAGTTGTCGTCTGGTGCTTGGGTCTAGTCCTGTCTGTGGGGAAACCTTTACATTCTTTTCCCTGAACCACAGTCCATTGTGAAAGAGTTCAGAGAATGAAACAAAGGCACAGAAATATTTTTATTTTGTTATCTGAAATAACTCTAAAATAAACCCTGTCCTAAATCACCAAAAGCATACCCTAGATCTGGAAAGAAAAAAAAAATAGATTCTAAAATAACAATTTATTGCAAATAAAATTTTATAATTCTTAAGAATTAAAGTATAGTGCCTTTCCATTATTCCAACATTCCATTTGATTAAAAAGTGAAACTTTATATCTAAAAGAAACATTTGGTGAAAAAAATTTCTGAAACTGAAGCTTGTGATGAAAATAAGTGAACAACATTAGACTTTCTGGTGTGCAAACTGAATTTCAACTAGCATTTTAGCAGAAGTTCATTCATTAATTAACCTTGTTTCTGAGAGAACAGCAACCTGCAGCAGTCAGGTTACCTCTGTGAATGATGAGCATGTAGCCTATCCAGAAGTTATCTGAGTTAATTGAGATTAATTTCTTGTGAGCAGAGCTTAGGTCCCCTGGGGTCTCATCAGAATGATGGTACTTCTGATTTATACCCTTGTAGCAGTGTTATTTATAGAAGGAAGTTCCTCAAAACAAAATCAGAATATTCCTTACTTCCCCTGCATGACAGTTGTTCTACTCAGCAATACGTATGTAGTTTCTCTCTTTCTCAGAACCTTAAAATCCTTTACTTTATATGAATCCAGAATTATTAAATGTAATGGATCATCAAAGGATAGCTATCAGCAGATGATATAGAAAAATGGTGTTGAATTCTCTGTGTTAAAATATGAGATGTGGATTGTTTGACTTTTTAAAAATTATTTCCCATTTGTTACAGAATCACAGAACTATTTAGGTTGGAAAAGATCTCTGAGATCATCGAGTCCAACCTATGACCAAACACCACCATGTCAACCAGACCATGGCGCTATGTGTCACATCCTCTCTTTCCTTAAACACCTCCAGGCATGGTGACTTCACCATCTCCATGAGCATTTAATTCCAATATCTAGTCATCCTTTCTGTGAAGAAATCCTTCCTAATGTCCAACATAAACTTCCCCTGGTGCAAGTTAAGACTCTGTCCTCTTGCCCTGTCACTTGTCTGGGAGAAGAGGTTGACTCCCACCTGGCTGCAGCCTCCTTACAGGTGGTTGCAGAGAGTGATAAGGTCACTCTTGAGCCTCCTTTTCTCCAGGCTAAACACCCTCCAGCTGCTCCTTATCAGGCATGTGCCCCAGACCCTTCAGCAGCTTCCCTGCCCTTTTCTGTACTTGCCTCAGAACATTTTCATGCCCTTCTTGAAGTGAGGGGGTCACAACACAGGACACGATGAATGTGGCAAATGAAATATTGTGTTATGTAGTTTGACTCAAATGGGAAAATCTGGCCAAAAAGCCAGAGCAAAGCAAAGCAAAGATTCCTAAAGCAGTCGTCAACACATATTCTGTGCAGGTCCCAAATGTAGACCTTTGCATCTGTTTTCTTCCACCTTTATCCTCCACCTTTCCCTCCACCTGGAGCTATCCAGACAGCTCTCTCTTTTATCTTTGCAATGTTTCAGAGAGTTTGTGGAAGGTCACTGGCCTAGTGCATTTGTCCTCCTGCCTGTGAACAGAACTGTACAGAATTGCTACTCTACTCCTGAATGTTTCAAGGCATGACCTCAACTTGTTTTATGTCAGGTATCTTGAAGCTTTTAGATTTAGGAGAAAAAAGTCCTGTGGGAAAGCTATCCAAACCTCTTTTGCAACAGGATGCATCTTCTGTCTCTGTCTCTTCTTACTACTGGGAATTTAAAACATAATGTGGAGAATCTTGGAAGTGTGAAGGTTTATCTTGAATCAAGAGACACCAGGCATTTATAGAAATAGTAATAAACAGAGAAGAATGTGAATCTGGAGAAAAACAACAGAATCTGGTAGATGCCCTTTCTCAGAGATGTGAATTGCTGGGACTCATGACTCTGGGACAAAAGATGAAAAGAGGGCATATCATTAAAACATGTCATGCTAAGAAGTGGATAATGTCTCCACAGAGACTGAGTTTGTGTGTGTGTACACCCACCATTCCTTGCCTCTGTACTTTTTAATCTCCCAAAGGAGTATAAATACCTTGAAAACTTGGAAATTTTTTATAGCATGACACATCAAGAGGAAGAAACTTTGAAAAAATTAGTTCTTCTCATAGAGACATTGAATGATATATAGATGAATCTTTATTTTTAGCTGATCTAACCTCACAAGAGAAGAAATGCAGAAGAGAACTAACTCCTCTTATATTTAATGTAATTTAAGAAATTTTTTGGCATCACTACAAAGGAGTAATCCTTGGTATGCAAGTGTATGCTGGAGTTTTTTACTGGTATTTAAATCTGGAACAGGAATCTGAAAGAAGTTGCAATCTTCCCTCTATTGAAATCAAACCCTTCCCCCAAGTCTATTCACCCGTTCCAAGGTCTTCTGGAGCATGGGTGTGGGGAAGTTTTCAATTTCCTCAACTCTTTTCTAAAGCAATCTGTGCCACTGCCTACAAAAGAAGCACATGGAAATCACATGCAGACAGAGGAGAAGTTCTACTAAATGTCAGGGACCTGGTGCCTGCACCAGACTTAATACCATTACTTGCTGTTCTTCCGCTAAAAGGGAAGAGTTCCTTATTGCTGGCAGTTTGCAGTATTCTTGCTTTTTTATTAAAATATCTTTATGAAAGAGACCTTAGGCTTCAATACCTGTGCACAATCTGAGCATCAAGGCTTTGCAGAGAGAGACAGCAGTCCTAATTTGGATCTTCCTCCCTACCACTTGCATTTGAAAGTAGCATTTCCTTCATTCCAGGACTATAAACTAGCATCCCAGGCATCACTCTGGCACCAGAAAAATCTGCATACTCTGTACAAGGCTCCAAAGGGGCTTACCTGTACCAAAAGACAGTGAGATATTCACCTCTTATATTGAAAGGCTTCCTAAGGAAATTACTATTTCAAACATATTAGATGAAGAATTGCTCCAACTTGAACAGGTATTTTCTAGATCCATGTGACCAGAAGTCAAGCCAGTTCTCAGATAGAATTTGCACAGACTGATTCTACTTTAAATGTTTGATCTGTTTGTTTTTTTTTTTTTTCAGGAAAGGCACAAGGCTTGAGTGAATGCAGTCTATCAGCCTTTTTAAGGTCTAAAAGGAACTCCTCTGAGTTTCAAAGCTTTACTTTGATTTTTTTTGTATATAATATTTACCTATCTTCTTGTATCTTGGAGCTACCAATGAGACCTCTTGCAGTTGCCATAATTTCAAAATTTGGAGGGGTATTCATGTAGTGGTGGCACAATTCATCAGAGCTTCAAGGGAAATCAGTAGCTGAAAATCCAATATGTAGAAGACTTTTTCTAGGAATAAGTAAAAGACAGTGGAAAGGTCTCACACATATCTCTACTGTTTGGATTTGGAAATGTCGGAAACTGGACATTTCCCCTGTATCTAAGATTTCAAGTGATGCTCTAAACTAAATTAAAAGTCTGATATTTTTCAGTCTATCATGATTATCTCTTGTATCCTTTATTTTTATTAATGGAAATGAGTTACATTTATCCAAATAAATGGATACCATTCTTTGTCACCATTATGATAAAGCTGGCTAGATATCTATTCATATGAGTGAGGATGAGACATAGTTTTCCCACAGTGGTAAGATAATATTTGTCTTTTGGAGTACAGTGAGGTACCCACTGACATGCATCACAAAATGTCCCAGCTGCTTTTGCAAAAGAGAGAAAAAAATTGCTAGACCTCCAAGTACGGGATAAATAAGCAGTATAAATATGGGAAGAAATAAGAAACAATTACCAGGCCCTCAGTCTTAATATGTGCTGTCTCCACAAAGTCCCATTTGTGGCCTTAGAAATTATTTCATCTATTTTAGTTTGTTTTTAAAATACAAGCCACAGAGAAAGGAGCTTTCCAGAACTCAAATTAATGTATAGAATACTTCAGTGGTAAAAGAAACTATGCTAGCAATGTGTATGTAAATTTATTTCTGTCTTTGAACTCTGCTTATACATTACTCTTGAACTCAGCTGTTAATATTTAGCACCAATATAGTTCTTGCTTACAACATTTCACTGCCAAGGAAAAAAAAATAAAGGATTTCCTTTTCTTTGCAAGGGCTTTCAATAAGAGAGGGAGAAAAGGGACTGCTTTTTTTGAACTTACCTCATACATAACTTTTTTCATTAGCTGTAAAATGTCCACATCTGCAGTTAGAAACAAAACTGATAGATTTCAGTGATCCGAGGTGATGCTATTATAAGGGAAATATCAGCAATTCTGTGGTTCAACATGTACTTTTCTTGTAAAGGAAAGCCAAAATAAAAATATTTCTGCATCTGAGTTCAATAAAAATCTCCTAATTTTCAAAGACATATTCTCTTGAACTTGTCAAGAGAAGTAGTACAAAACTGCCTTGCTCAAATATCACTGCTTTTTGGAGAACAGAAAATTTTTCTAACATGCAGATCAATGTAGTGTAGGGCCTTAATCAATTCATACTGAAATACTTTGAAGTTCTTACACAAAAGCCAGCTGGTGGAAGTGTGCAGTAAAAAGAACTTGCTGAATTATTCATTGTGAATAATCTGTGTTACGAATTTACCCTCCCACTGCCCCACCTCCTTTTCAGGGGTTGTCGGCAATGCAGTCCTCATCTCTGTGAGTATTTGGCAAGTGGTTTATATTAATGTATTTTTATATGTTCCAAGAGTTGCTGGATCCCTTGAACATTATTATTTACATTTCTATATTTTGTGACTTACAGCGTGTGAATGCAACATCATATAGAAAATAATTTTATTGTAGTATTTCAGTACACTGATGGGTTGATTGATATATCTAAACCTAGAGATTCATAAAAAACAGAAGCTGTCTTTGTAAAATGAATTGATATATGATTACATTTTCTGGCCTGTACTTATCCCTTAAAACTTTAGGCAGTAAACTAAGGTGGATGAGATGCATAGGCATCATATATAGACCCTTTCTTCAACTGAGGGTGAACAGCTGGCACTCAGAGAGGCTGAGGTAGGTCTTCTGTGTGATTATTGCTCTTTGGAAGTGCCTATGTATTCATTATATTGGGAGCATAAAAAGTCTGTGGGATAACATCATGTCGAAATGATGGAATTCCCTTGTTTGAACTCATCCTTATGTAAAAGAGACAGAAGATTATCCAATGCAGCTAACAACAGATTACTTCTCTCTAAGGTTACCTTTACTGTCAGTAAGGATGCATAAGTCCTTCAAGGGAGCAAACCATCTCTTCCTGAGTAGATTTATGAAACAGCTGGATGGCTTATACCCTAAGGGCCTTATTTCTCATGGGGGCCTGTGATGGGAACTTAAATAACCAGCCCATATCTATGTATCTATACCAAGAACATCTACATCCATTCAAATCAATTTCTTATACAGATTTTGCTCACTCAGATTAGCACTGATAAATATTAGTATCACCAGCCCTTTTTCTGCTGCTGGAGAAGAATTCCTATGGATAACACAGAGTTTTCAGTGTCATTGGTATTTACAAAGCATGCTGAAGTATTCAGCGTCTCTTATTTCATTTTTCAGAGTTATCAACACAAAAAGCATAATGAAGATATATAATGCTATCTACTTACTCAACAGGTAAATTGCTACATCAGGCACCTACTTACATATTTCTTAAATAATCCTCAAAAAGTCATCTTTATCCTTCTAAGAAAATTCAGGCTAAGTGAATGCTTCACAGCTTAATAGATGCAACAGAAGGGTGATGAAATATCTGAGTGATAAAATTTTTGTCCACTGAGTCACAAATAGTTCAGTATAAGCTTCCTGTTAATGAATTTAATTGTAAATGAAAATAGATCTAGCCATCAAAGTACTAAACAACCTTTGAAACAGTCTTCCAAGAGATTACCAGTGATAAAAATGATGGAGTTTGATAGGTTTATAAACAAGACTACATAACATTTTGTCTGTTTTAAGAAGAGGCTGGACTTTAGAATCCCATTCTAATCATGTGTCCCTGGTAAAATCATTATTAATTCTTAGAATCATTGCTTGTCAGAAGTTTGAACAGATTAACGTAGTACTTTAACTATATGCAAACTCATGTTAATTCTATTTGTCTATTTACCTTCAAGAGTGAGCTAGCTAGATAAAAGTGTCCAACTGATTGTCATGCAAAAGAGCCACTTTTCCTCTGAACACCTATCTGAGTCACTTCTGTGCAACTATGCTATTTGCTACACATGCTCATTCCAGTTTTTCAGGAATTCATGTCTTGCTTTGGCTTATCAGCATCAACCTGTTCATTCCTTTTACTATGCATATATTCAGAGAGGCACGAAAATGCTCAGTAGTCTACATGCATTTCAGAAAGCGATATATATATAAAGGTATCACTATATGTACAGAGGCAAGTGATAAGAACTATTTGTCATATGAAGAACAAACAAAAAATAATTCTATTAGTTAAAAAATTGTAGGTCATAGATATAGGTTCCAGGAAAAAGATCATACATTGTTTGGAGACAAGATCTAAGTATGACCTTAAATGACTTCAGGTAATCTTTTTGTCTTTGAATTCAAACTCTATTTACTTAGCATATAGTCCAGTACAGCAGTGATTGAAGGAAAAGAGAGGAAGAGAAAATGTTATTTTATTTTTATCTTCACTTTTCTATTCTGTGTTTGGCTGGTATATGACCTTGCATTTTCATTTACAAAGTGCAACAATTCCAAGAGTAAAAGTCATTAGCCCGAGATAATGAAAATCTGGAATCACTCTGGCACAAAAGGCCTTCTAAGAAGCTGGAATGGTGAACACAGATTTTGCTGGCTTGTGATGTGTTGAACCTTTGCCATCAGGTGAATTTAATAGAGTTCAACACTACTTTTGAGAGATTTGTGTTGGCTTTTCCTACGGAAAGTAGTCACTATGAGGATTATGTCCTCCAATACATGATGTCTTATCCAGAGTGAAGAATGTGTTCTACCTTTGGCTATGCCTTTTGTTTAAACTTGTCCCTTGACTTTCTCAAAATAAATGGAGGATATGAAAATTCACTGCGGGTGTCTTGCTAAACTTTGTGGCCAGCTAAGACCTGCCAAAACTTAACTTTAAATTGGGGGTTCTTAGCTACTAGGACAGTAGTGTTGCTAGGACTGAAAGAGTGTTAAAAGGTACAAAATGTTTCTGCCCACAGGATGCTGGAGAAAATACAAAATCAGGAGTTTTCCTAATATTTCTATCTCTATCTCTCTGACTTTCAATAATGTTTAACAGATTCATTCTTCCATCAGTCTTTACTGACACTAAAGTCAAATTAATGTGTGTTATGTGTGGAATGCATCAGAATCAAAACAATTTAATTTATGTCCACCTGATACTAATAAAGAGGAAATTATATTCAGCTTATGGTTTGATGAGCTATTCTTTAAAGATTTGGACTATGTTTTTCTTTTGGGGATTTCCTAAAGAAACACTTTCTACTATATTGATCCTTTGGTAAATTTAAGATATAAAAATAAAAAAGGAAAACCTTACAGTTTAGACAAGGCTGTTTTCAGAAATAAATATTTCAGCATCATTATTTACAGCTGGATTGAAATAATGGGATTTGAGGGTCAGAATTGTCCTTGGGGAGGGTTTGCTTCTCACAGAAATGCTGCAGCAGAAATGTGACCCCACCTTGCACAGGGGCTTTCTGAGATCTGCTTTAATTGATGAGGAGAGTATTTTTAACAGTCCAGTGGTAAACACATTCTCACTAGCCTGGAAAATTTTGCTGCTGTAACAGCCCGAAGCAAACTTGTTACTGTCTGGTGACTTGAGCTCTTCCTGGCAGCTTGTCTCCACCAAGGAAGACTTATTAATGTATTACCCTGCACTGAAGTCACAGCTGATATGTACAAGGCAATGACTTTCATATATCTGCTTTATGAAATAAATCCCTTTCACTTTCTAAGTACATATTTTCTGTAGCTGATATGACAGCTTTAACCATAGTTATTCTCGTTTTTCCTTTAGAGACGTGGGAATGTGTACACAAATACTGCTACAGTACACTTGATACACATTCATAAAGCATCACAGAGAAAAGATGATTCAACAGGGCTGGAACAGAGAGAAAGTTACAAGTGACTCTGTGAAAAAAACTTGTAGAGACTAAGGCAGCTTTAAGGCATAAAAAGTTATTTTCTTTATCTAAGATCATTATTTATCTTAGACAGAAAAGCAGAGTCCAAAAGAAATCCAACGATATTTTATTGCTGTGAACTCTTCCCTGTTTCATCAGGATGAAAACTGAGGAGATGAGGACACTTCAGATATTGCATGTGCACTGTGGGCTCTACAGCACAAAGCTCTCAGTAGGACTGCATTGTGCTCAGAACAGAAGGCCCTCCAATCAGAAAGCTCTTATAATACAGCTAAGATTCTGTGCAGAGAATCTGAATCCACAGAACCTTTTATATATTCCCCACTGGTAATTTGTATTCTACATTTTACGCAGACAGCATAGCCAAAGCCACAGGTTCTAAAATAATTTTGAAAAAGCCCACAAGATTGCAGTAAAAGCCATAAGATTCAATTAGGAAACTTTAATACATTTGCTTTTGAAGCATTTAAGATATAAATATTTTTCTTTTCTTTTTAAGAGATTTTTCAGGTGGTCAAGGAAGATCATGTTTAAGAAAAATGTTAATTATCATGGGATGGGTAACAAATGAATTTGTCATAACCACTGAAAATAAAATAGATCTGAGGAGGATAAGTGATATGAACACAAAATTTATTAGCTGTTCAAATAAACAACCTGACTATTGACACTCTGCTTCCAAAAGTCTCCAGCTGCAAACTAGCCAATTAAAAGGTATTTCTATTTTGCTAGATAGATTACAGAATGTCTGCTGGTACCTTTGTTAATTTATCTTTTTTTTAATTACATTTCTGTGGTGGTTTCCTTGCTATATTTTCTCTTTCATTAAGAACTACTTTTTCCTCCACTTTTTTGTTCCACCTATAGTTTCTTGCACAAGTTTATCAGTTTGCTTTTCTGTTGTATTTTCTGCTGGATATTTTATAGCACTCAGTTTTAACATTTAAAAATAACATTTTTTACATATAAAAAACCTTGGGTTAAATCTATCAATCCTTCAAGGAGAATGGGAAAATCAGAAATTCTCACTGATCTAGTTTAATATCATCTGCTGATAGTCCTGTTCTTAACAAAACATGCTTTATTTAATTTAGGGTGTGAAACAAACAAACCCAAAACCTCAGCACCATGAGCTACTTTTTTTTTCAGATATGTGAGGCACAAATACATAAAAAGCAAGACTATTCATGACCTTATTTGCATTCCACTTCTTTATTTTAGTTTGAAGATATTAAAATTAGATACTAGATGTCTATATTATGCCTGTATTATTCAGTAGTTTCTTTGCACTGATTTATATTACAAATGTGTTTGTGAAAAGATTTAACAAAAGAATAAGTATTAGACTTTAATTTGAGCAGAGCACTTGAGGAATCATTAGGAAATGAGATAAAGATAACAGAAAAGAGAAGAGAATTACTTGGCATTAGGCTGGCCCAGTAAAAGATGCAATTTCATTGATGGGCCTACAGGGTACTATGAACAAAAAAACAAATTTAGCTAAAACTC